AGAGCTAAAAGTCTTCTCACTGTTAATCCAGGTCCTCAGCTGCAAGCAGCAAATGGGGAGTTCTGGCTTCAGGATCTTCAGTTCTTCACCTTGTCTCGTGGTTTCTTGGAGCTTTCTGGGCACAGTTGGTTTTTCCTTCTTTGCTTTGTGAAGTGATACAAGGGTGGCAGGAGGATGAAGAGCCCGACTCGCTCCCTTCCCAGCTGAAAGGAGCTCAGTGCTTGCTGTAAGTAATCTTGGCAGCAGTCTGATTTGGAGGCGCCATGCTCTTGACTGTCAGATGGTTCAGTTTTGAGCAGCAGTCAAAAGCTTCACTTCTGTGTTGTGCTGGGGATGGCTACGTCACGGGTAAGGCAGTAGTATTTGCTGCTCTGTGCTTTTACCAAGGAAGGGATGAGCAGGAGCATCCCCCTGGCAAACAAATCAATGCAAAGCAGGTGCTTCTGTGGGCAGGGGGGCACTTCTTGGTGGTCCAGCGTGCTAAAGATGACTTGTGCAATATAGCAATGCATTGAGACTGTTTGGTGCCTGTTGCTGCATGTGTGCTTGCCACGAGGATGAGTTTTGTTGGGTTAGTAGGTGTTTTTCTTCACGCCTGTCACAGTACCTCTCCTAAACTAACAGCAGCAGCGCTATAGCAGACCTGCAGCAGACCCTCCCTGGTGCAAGGCTTAGGGTGGCTCTTCCTGCACCTCTGTGTGGTAAATCAGGGAGAACAGAAAAATGCATGGAGTATTTGTGCCTCTCAGAGTTTAGGCTGGATATTGGGCACAATTCCATCCCCAAAGGGGCGCTCAGGCATTGGAACAGGCTGCCCAGGGCAGGGCTGGAGTCAACTGTTGGTATCTCATTTCCCCTGCAGTTGCTCACAATTTAAGGTCCCTTCCAACCCAAACCATTCTATGATTCTATAATAAATTCACATTACACGTGGCTCTGGAATAACAAGATTCATTATGGATGCTGAACCTGGTTGTTCCCACCTCTGTTAGAGTATTATGTCAGAAGAAGGACTTGGGAGGATGAACAATGAACCAGTGTGGGTCGTGCTGATATCACGGGGAAGTTCCCTGTGCAGAAATGCACCTTTTAACCACACTTTGTAACTGATCCACTCAAAACTCTGTTATTTATACTGATAATACTGAGCCTGTGCAGCGCAAATGTGACTTAGTCATGCGTTTGAAGAGAAACAGAACTCACCTGGCTCTGTACTTCGGGTTTGTGGTGGGGTGGGATCTGGAGGCACAACCTCCCACTCTCCAAAGCGAATAGATCAGGGAGAAACTTGGCTGATTTTTTTGCTTGTTTAGCCAAGGAATTCATTGTGGAAACGTTTGAGAGAGTAAATGTCAACTTCTGCATTTGCTGAAGTTACTTTGATCGTATTTCTGTGTCTTGTCCCATGTTTCTGCTGTAAAGCTGGGTTTCAGGGGGGTTACAGTTACGTGGAAGTGTTGCTGGATGGTACTGCTGGTTTCCTTGCTGGCACTTAAAGGATTTACTTGGCTATAGGTGCCCCAATATGTGGGCTTGGCTTTTTTTGTCTGTCCACAGATTTCCAGATACTTAGTTCTTCCTCTGTCGGTCGGTGCTTCAGAATATTCAAGCAGCTGACCTGTGGGAGAGAGAACTTGGAGACCAGATGCCGAGAAGATTTATGCAGATACAATCTCCTTTTATTAAAACATAATAGGAAAAAGCTGCCTGTGATTGTTTGATTGCTGTTTGTGCCTGAGAATCTGTTGTGTCAAAGGGCTTATGTGACTGAGACTCTTCAAATGGCTTGAGTTGAGTGCTGGTGCTCTTCCTGCTGTAATGTGTTCTTGACTCAGTATCTCTGTTGTCATCTCTGCGTGTCCAGCTCAAGTGTTTCTCTTGACATTCCTGGTGCAGCCTGTCAGTGATGGAGGCTGGGTTAGAGGATTAGCTGGAAATGTGTTACAGCAGGGCAAGATGCTGTTGTTTGTTCCACACTGGAAGATGGGTCTTGTGTCCAGGCTTAGGGGAGAAGGGGGTGGATTTCTTGCAGTTGTAGGGTAGGTACTCTCACTCATCCAAACACTAATGGGTTATGAAGCTCCAGCAAGTGAAGGGTGTGCAGTGAGCACCCAGGAAGTCAGGCTGCTGCTTGTGACAGGTTAAGGAGAAGGAGCTGGCTGATGCTGTGAGGTTGGTGATTCCCTGTGAGGGTGCTGAGGCGCTGGCACAGGGTGCCCAGAGAAGCTGTGGCTGCCCCATCCCTGGCAGTGTTCAAGGCCAGGTTGGACACAGGGGCTTGGAGCAACCTGCTCTAGTGGAAGGTGTCCCTGCCCGGGGCAGGGGTTGGAGCTGGGGGAGCTTTGAGGTCCCTTCAACACAAACCGCTCTGGGATTCTGTGCTAGTTTCTAAGGCAAGCCATGGGTGTGTATTTGGGGGTTTTCACCTCTCTGCTGAGCACCTCTGACGGAGGCTCAGTCTCTCTGTAGGGACAGCAGAAAATAGGATGAGAGTTGCAAGGAAACCACTGGCCCGTATAGCCTGGGAAGTTATCCGTCCCAGGGCATGGTTATTTAGGATGCCTGGTCTACCCCTGCCAAACCCTCCTCTGCCCCATGTATTATTTAAATTACAGTCCTCTTGCAAACCCGAGGTTGTGTGTGGTCCCTTTGGCCTCTTGTGCGAGCAGAACTCCAGTTCTGGAGCAACCTGTCTGCCCAGCTCAGTGGGCACCCCCCTCATTTCCAGAACCTCTTTCTCTTATCAGAAGAACATGGTAATACATAAATGTTTGCTCCCCACAGAGCACTCCCCTTTGGGCACAGGCATGGGAGTTATCCTGGCTGTGATGGGGTGCAAGGAGTCAGTTATCCCAAAACACATTGGGAAGAGCCTGACATCTAGAAAAGCAATGGGCAAACCACAGTGGGTTTCCAATTCCTGAGTTTCTTTTAGTTAATGCATATATAAGCAAGTCAATTGAAACACGTTGAGCTTCTTTCAAATAGATAATGTAATTATCAGCTTGATTAAGCCATATCAAATGAGCAGTTGTGGTAATTCAGTAGCTTGGTTCTAATCACTGCAAAAGCAGTAGTAGCTTTAATTAAAAGCCTCAAAGTGTCAGCCCAGTGTCAGTGGTGTCAATTGAGGGCTGGGCTGGCCAAACACCTGGTTGCAGGGAAGATCAAACCACTCCTACGTTCAAATTAGTAGAGAGACCAACTCTTTGGTGCCAATAAAGGGAATCTGTTTCCTAAATACCATTAAATGCAAGGAATTATCCTTTTCTGCTGTTTCCAATGCTCAGATACAGACTTCATTAAATCTATTCCTGTATCGCTCCATTAGGCTGACTTTTTTAAACATTTACAGTTCAGTGTCACCCACCTGTGTCCTTCCTGAGCCTTAGACCTGCAGCTTCTTACATGAACGTGTGCTCCCCCAGACTGCAAGGTTGTTTAATTCCCCAAACGCCTGACCCGAGCCTGCCCGCAGGTCACTTGCTGCAGTGAAATGCAGGAGAGCAAAGGCACAGTAAAAAGGTTTGCTAAAAATGGATCAGGAGAGCAAGAAATGAGGTTTAGTTTGGTGGATAGCTCAGGGAGCAAACACATGGCTGAAGGGGCTCTCCGGGTGGTGCTGTTCCTCTTCTGTCGCTCACTAAATACTTAGAGGCTATTTAGTAATAAGCTCCTACTCATGGTGTGGTCAGAAAGGGTGGGATGGACTCACTGCATGAGTAGGTGAGCACACAACCCCTGCTACTGGTGCTTTGGGTGAAGGCAGTCAGCTCTTGCCTCTGTTTCTGCTGGGTTTGATGCCTCCTCCCCACCTTCCATAGAACCATAGAATGGTTTGGGTTGACGGGACCTTCAAAGCTCATCTAGTCCAACCCCCTGCAGTGTGCAGGGACATCTTCAACTAGACCGGCCTGGAATGTCTCCAGGGATGGTGCATCCACCACCTCTGTGGACAACGTGTTCCCCCTCTCACGATGAGGGAGTTTGGAGTGAGCCGATCTGCTGCGGAGGCTGGAATGCCTTGTGCCTTGTGGGAGAGGTTCCCTCTTAGAACAGATCAGAGCAGGACCATGTCTGTAATGTTCTGCGTGGCTGGGAAAGCCCAGATGTGCTGAAGCCAATCCCGTGTGTGGCAGCTTTGTGAGGAGCTGCTGTGCTCAGCCCTGCCCTCAGCGAGGCGGCTCCTGCTCCGGGTGCAGATCCGTATCTCTTTATAGCTCAGTAATTTGCTGGGGTTGTGCAGGGACTTGACACAGCATCTGGATGAAGAGTCAGGAATGACATACAGCCGAGGAATTCCTTTTCCTCCCATGAATATATTTTTAGGGCCTTTCTGCTGAACGTGATGATTTGGTGGTTTAACATCCACAAGGTCTATAAAATACAACTCTGGGGAAGGACAGGAGCAGTGGGAAGCCAGGTTCTAACCTGCCGAGGGGGATTTGCATGTGTTTAGTTTATTAATGTTGGCAGATCTCAGCTTAACAGACCAAGTTTACTTTTCCTGTGAGTAGGTGGACTTCTGGTTTTTCTTCTGGTAGTTTCAGAAACGACAAGGAACCAAGAGCCTGTATCAACATGCAGGCAAATACCTGGGATTTACTTCTGGACCAGAGCTGAGATGAGCTTTAGTAGATTTGATGAGGATTTGTAACATGTTAGGAGCAGCATTGGTGTGAGAGCTGGGATGTGGGCTGGGGCTGGGGAAGCAGCTTTCTGGCCATCCCCTGCTTTCCCCAGCTGCTGCAGCATTTGTTGTCACCGCCTTGCTTTTAATTACTGTCGTGTTCTATGGCTTAATACTAAACCATATCTAATTGCATCCTGTCTCCTAATAGGCTTAACTGGCCATCACCCAAAAAGACTCTTCTGTGTGTAGAAACAAGCTCCCCAAATATTTCCTAATTGGCAGTTGGTGCTTTGTGAGGAGATGGGTCCCTCTCAGTGACATTAATAGGTGTTTTCTTCTGTTCCTCTCAGGATTGGACATTGATCCTATGACGCATGCCCGGAAGAAACAACTTTTCCTTCTGAAACATCCAGCTGGTTCTGCTGGCCGAGCTTCATCACCCACAGGCAGCAGGAGGATGGACAGGACCAGCGCAGAGTGCGGAGAGCGGCGAGATGGAGATGCCACCGAGGCTCCCAACTGTCCCAGCGGCTTCGTGGGGCCCAACAAAAGTAAGACCCTGCATGAGGTGCGAAAGACGTACCCGCTGCGGAGGAGGCTGCTGCCCTCTGTCAACAAGAAGACCTGCAAAGTGCTCCTCACCAGGCTGGAGGACGTGGCCGGATCCCTGTCCAAACAGACCCAGAGCTGTAAAGCCAAGGACCTTCCCAGCTGGATGGAGGGTTTGGGACCTGCTTTGTTCTCCGAACAAGTTCAGCCTGTGGGAGCAGGGAAGAGTGATTCATCTGGGGAAAAGTGCACAATCACTTATCCAGGGCCGGAGCAAGACCTGGATCCTGCTCCGTCAGAGCCCCGGAAGCGCCGGCTGGCCTCGCTGAACGCCGAGGCTGTGAACAACCTGCTCTTTGAACGGGATGATGGCTTGTTGTCCAGCAGGCGATTCCGGAGGGACTCCGTTAAAACCAGTGGAGACTGTGCTGGTAAGAGTTTGCAATGCAAAGCTGGGGTCAGCTGGCCCACGCTGGAAAAACCGGCTGTGAAGGCAGGTAAAGGCAAACACCGGCATGAGCCCAGTCAGAAATGCAATAGCTGTGACCATTCGCTGGATGAGGTCTTTGATGATGGGACAAAGAGGGAGGACGGTGCCATCTCCCATCATCCCACCCCAAAGAGACTGGCCAGCCTGAATGCTGTGGCCTTCCTGAAACTGACCCATGAGAAAGACCAACCCCTGAAGCCCAGGAGTAAATCGGATGGAGAGGGCAAATCCGAGAACCACTGTTCAAAATCCACACTCAAATGGGCTAAAGCCGGTAGGAAGAATTGTGTCAAATCCAAGAAGGAATTGGCAAGCTTAAAACTGGAAGGTCAGCACAGCTGGCCAGGGCATGCCCTGGGTGCTCTGGGAAAAGGGGAGCGGCGGGACTCCTCAAGGCTCTATGGGACAGCAGAACCTGTCCCTTACGAGTCACTGTCCAGCTCCTACGCTAGCACCGAGGGTTTCTACCACAGACTGCCTTTGCTTATGGGTGGACAAGCTTCCATGAAGCCGGAATATGGAAGACCTGGAGAGAAATCCCCAACCCCCAAACAGGAATTTCATCAGCCTTCCTTCCCCGTGCAGCAGTTCCCTCCTTTGCCAGTGCCCGGAAATCACACGGATTGTGGATGTCTCTATGAATCCTCGGATCTGACTCCCTTGAATGGGTTTTATGTTTATTATGGCCAAAGTGGATACAGTGGCTACTCTCACTGCTCCATTTACCCCAAGGAGGAGCTTTCGCAGCCTGCTACCTGCGAGGGGCTCTTGGTGTCACCGAGTTCCCTGCCGTCAGGTGCTCACTTCCAGCCGCTGCACTGGTGTAACTCTCCCTACTGCTGTGGAGAAGGGACGGCGCTGAACACTTACAGCCTCTGCGGGGTCGTGCACGTGCCCGAGGGCAGGATCAGCAGCGTGCACGCAGGACGGAACAGCTACCCCTACAAAATGCCTTTTGCAGCAGGTAAGGTGCACAGTGCAGGCACGTCTTGTTTGGTGTTCCCGGGAGAGGAGAGCTGCTGGCTGAGGAAGGCATCTCATTGCCAGGAGGCAAGTTCCTTCTGCACGTGGTGCCTCTTGCTTTTGGCAGCTGAGTGAAGGCTCAGGAGGAATCCGTGTTTCACCTCCTCTTCCCTGTTTTTAGCCCCAAGGGGTTTTTCCCACTGAAAGGTCGTCTTAGTGTGGAAAGCCCAGAATTGGTGGAGGATTTGGGCCGTGAGAAGGTGACTCATGACTTGTCATGCTGGAGCTTGGCTTTGATCTGTGTAAAACGAGGGGGGTTTGGTTCCTACATGTTCTGCGAGGCTTCTGTGCCGCTTCATCGCGCCGAGTTACTCCTCCGCTCCCAAAAGCTCGCTCTTGGGACTGAAGCATCCTTGTGGAGCGGTGGGAGGAAGCGGAGGGGTCTCTGTCATCAGGCTCTTACCGGTGTGAGCTCTATGGAGGATGCAGCCTTTTGCATTCTATAGATCAGGGCTGTGCAGCAGATCGGTTTGAGTCTACTCTTTAGACAGATGCTTGAATCTCGCTGTGGGGATACAAGTGCCAGGTACACTGTTAGTTGGTGAGGAGCGGTCCCCTCTTTGCTCTCAATGTCTGAAAACGAGGCACTGAAATGAGAAAAGGTGACGGTGTAGGAGGTGATGGAGTTACTCATCTGGCTCTCTTCTGTCCCCTGCCTGTCTCTCAGGCTTTGCCCTGCAGTGCTTTATCCCGAGCTCTGCCTTTGCTATTGAAAGATGTCTTTTTAAATATTTAGAGCTGGGTTGTTGGGGGGTTTATCAGACACCAGCACTTTGTGTAACAGCCATCAAGTGCTGCAGACGGGTGGGCTCGAGAGAGAGAAACCCGCTGGGCGTGTAGACATCAGCGTGCCCATTAAGCACGTGTCCGAGTCAGACAGGGGCATCACTCACCCACTCAGACCAGATTGCCAGGTAGGAGGCTGAAGCCTGGGTTCAGGGCTTGGTTCGAAGCCAGGCGTTGTCACCTGTAGGAAGCTGCTGAAACCCAGGCGTGTTTGGATGAGGCAGAATTCCCTCTT